CTGTCTCTCTCTCCTCCCTCTCTCTCTCTCTCTCTCTCTCTCTCTCTCTCTCTCTCTCTCTCTCTCTCTCTCTCTCTCTCTCTCTCTCTCTCTCTCTCTCTCTCTCACACTCTCTCAGCAAACGCTTACCCGGCTTACCCCCAATCACTTTGGAGACTATCTCTTCCGCCAGCCATGAGCCCTGTGGCTGAGCAGCCCACGCATTGCCGGCAAGATCTGACTGTTTCCAGTCCGAAAGCTCGGTGAAGCTGTAGGTCTCCATCTCAGAAGGAGATATCCCCTGCAACGCCATTTTCTCCTTCCGCGACTCTCTCTCTCTTTTCCACACGACAGGGACGACTTAAGGTGTAGGGTTCAACATTAAGGGCCCGGGGTCCTGGCCAGACAAGACGGTCCATCGTCCTGTCACTATGTACTTGCCCTTTGGGAGAAGGCACGGCACCACCGTGGGATTGGCTCGACAAAAGATCTGGCGATTGAAAGCTTGATCCTTGGCTCAGATGATCTCAGATGCAACAAACGTGCTGGCCTCCACATGCTGACACAATAGAAACATGCAAGCATATGCAGCTGAAACTCCACTTGCACTAGCAACGTCTCTGCAAATGGGTCTCGACCCAGCTTCTCAAGCTTGAACACACCATAACACAAAACCATCATCTCCCTCTCGGTGACGGCCAAGCCTTTGTCGCGAAGCTTCAGCTCGGTGCGGACCATGTGGGCCTGCCCAAAACAAACTCTAAACCCTACCTAGGTAACCCACAATCTTTCGGGAACTGAGAGGGGCATCGCGAGAGGGGTGGCAACAGAGGGGGTGGGGGCTGGGGCCCTTCAACTTGGAGCGAAAACCCTACGCGCAAAGCATCCCCAAGCCCCAAAAACCACAACCTCACAAGAATGCACTCGCAGCCTTGGTTTCATCGTCGAAGGCTTTGTAGGTCTTCTTCCACTTCGCATCGCCTTTTGCCTGGGCCTGCCCTTTCGTGACTTCACAAGTCTTTGTGGAGGGTGGCTGCAGAAACTTATTCATACATCCAGACACGGCCGGGGAGCGAAGTCGGTCCATGACCCCCAATGGTCCATCCTGGCTCCTGTGCACAGCGACAAGCAACATCCAACGAACAAGGGCTGCATCGGACAACAGCGAACATCAAAGAAACTCGGGCCGTCCTCACTAAGTTCTCACGGATGTAAACTGCCCAAGTCCGCCTGCGGCTTTGGGGCAAGCCGTAGGACTGGGCATCCAACACCCAACTCCATCCAAGGAAACCTCGTTTTGCAAAAGCATCGGTTTGGATTTTGATGGGCACTTCATCCTTGAACTTCTTCCGTTGGTTTGACATCTCTGCCACATTCTCTGTGATGATCCACTGCAAGGTGCTCAGGTGGCGATCTACATACTTCAGAAGTGCACAAAATCCAGCTCCCGTGCTGGAGCTCTTGTCCGTAAATGACTTGGCCTCATTGTTCTGCAAGGAGAGGGACTTGCATGGGTATCCTGCGAGGATGCCATCCACCTTAGGCCGGGTCCACACAATCAGAGCAGCAGCTAAAAGGTGAGCCGGGCACCAGCAGATAAGCAGCCTAGTTGCGCTCTCCACGTCCGCAGATGCTTGGGTGATATAGTCGTAGGCACGACCACAGGCCAAATCCTTCATATCGGAGAAGATGTGCTTCACATGTGGAAACGAACGATGAAGCTGCTCAGCTTTCCATCGTGTCTGCTCGCACATCCACACCACCCGCAGCTGCAGGGGGCAGAGAGCGATTAACCGAAACCCTAAGGTAAATCCTAGACTCTATAACCCTCGACCCTTGAATTAAACCCGAATCCCTACAGCTAGACTGAGAGCATAATCCTAAAACCCAGACCACGATGAAGTAGACTCAACAACTCCAACCAGGCCTTGGCCGGGCTAGAACCTGGGGTTTCAGCAGCTTGCTCGATCATCGCCACAGCATTGTTAAGCGCATCAATGGCCGTTTCACCCACACCCCATCCGGAACACAAGGAGCCCACCTTGACCTCTTCACCGTTGCACGCTGCCTGGGTGAGGCTGTCTTTGATCATCTTGGCAAGCTCGCGGTTTCTGGCCAATTGATCCATTGCCCAAAAACCGACCTTGCCCGCTCTGAAAAACGGAATCTCGCAACTACTATGGTTAGGGTACTACACTACGCAGAATGCTACGGCGAGAGACGCCACCGGAGGCATCGGACCCAGGAGCTGCACTTTGACCATCCTCATCGTCTGTGGCTGGCAACACCGAAGGGGACTTAATGTCACCATCGGTATCCTCGCGGTCTGAACGAGCATGCAGCTGCATCCTGACCAGCATGCTCAAGATGCGGGGATTGGCTGGCACGAACAAAAATGCGGGGCAAGCCTTTCATCGTCACTGGCAGCAAGGATCTCGTCGTCCGCTTCGTCGTTGGTCCTGCAAAACATGTCTTTTTCCATCAAGGTTTGGAGAGGGGTCTGCATGGGCCGCAATCATAATCAATGGACAGAAGTTGATGGCAAGGTCTTTTCCACAGATTTGCAAGCAGGTGCAGCCAACACTTCACGAGGCTCAATTCCCAGCATTCTAAGTCTGGGCATCGAAATCCACTTCTGCATCATCGTGGTCCGACGCCTCATCGTCAGATCCACGTTCTGCGCTCGAACGCAAGTTGATCACACGGCTACGGGGAGGCTTTCGCCAAGGCATGCGAGAGCCCACTGCATTCACGCCGAAGACCCGATCGTCGGGCCTGCGGTATTCCAAGTGACTGTAAGAGACAGGCCTCGGCTGCTTTTGCCAAGTCCCTTCGCACCAGTTGGTCAAGTAGGCTTCTGCCTCGCGGCTCAAAATGCCCTGATTTACACATTTCGGTGCTAGAGCAGTGATGTTCTTACGAACCTTCGGGCTGATCGCTCGGCGATCAGCCGTACCTGTGGGCTGCTGAAAGCTGCTTCGCAGGTCTGCCGCTCGTTGAGCTGAGACAACACACGCCACATAGTACGGCGTGGCATCTGCCATAAACCGTTTTGCAAGAAGCATGATGTCTTCAGGGCTCGGTTCACATCCTGTGAGCTCATGTGGCACACACCCGCCATAAGAAGAAGGGTCCAGGTCTCCACGAAGACAGAAACGAACTTGGCCGACTTTGCCTTGGCTGCTCACTACAAAGCAGCAGCAATCGCTGAAAACAAAGCCAACACTGAGAATCTTCCAAAAAAGAAAATGCGGTTCTAAACAACTCAAGCTAGTTTCGCAGCCCCTTGAAGCGCAAACCCAGGACAGCAACCCAGTCCTGCCACAATGCCACAGAATCCAGTTTGACGCACGTCATGGTAACACTGGCAGTCTTGGCTCGTTTCCTTTCCCGTTCCCCAACATCATCTGGCCGATATGTGGAGTCTATCAACTGCACAACCTCCGAAGCGGAATCAAAGCAGTGACGGCCAATGAATGCACTCTGCTGCGAGAAGACCTGGTCCAGGTCTTCATGGCCTCAGATCATGGAGAGTTTTGCGCGAAGCCGGTGGCGACACAGGGGATTGCATATGGAGACTAGTCTCAACACTGCTGAATACCAAGTGAGCAGCTGTGGCCTGGTCGCAAGAAACTTGCGACCGTATACCGGAAGACCCGTAAGCAGACCAACAAACAAAGGTAGGCGATGACGTACTGGTTTTTACCCTCGCGATACGTGTTGTCTTGTTGCAAAGCCAGCCCAAAAGGAAGCCGCATGCCGGAATCCATCACTTCGGAAATGGTTCTCCCTAGCATTTCCAGTTGTGTTTCTGAGTTCTTTTTCAAGCATTCATCCGCCACAAAGAAGTTCAAGCATCGCCCATGCAGCCAGCAAGCTGCCACATGCAAAGTCGGCCGGAAAAGCCGGCCCAGGAGCTTTGAAGACTGGTCCCTTATCCTGGGAACTTTATATTTACTTTGATCCATACCGTCGATCATCAGTGTCATGAGTGAAGTACCGATGGAAGAGGCCATGATCCTGCAATGGAGTTTTTACTTTACAGTCCTACTGAACTAGACTAATTATGACTATCTACTGCCAGCGACATCAAACACCAAAAATGTGGACCCAAGCAGGCCTGTCACCCAGCATCAGGTGTTGCCGAAAAAAGGTTTGTGACATCGTCCTGAACTGCCAGTACAGTTGCCGATCCAGCCACTGGGATAAAAGATGTTGCATGTACGTTTTGAATCGCCCGGTCCACCACCGCCGTCGCATTGCGGTCCGAGGGGTCCTTCTGGCGGTGCACCGCGCCTCCGGGCAGCGCCGCCTCCAAACCCCGAAATTCGTTCCCCATGTCCGTCGTGACCACGACGTTGGTTTCGTCCTGGACCAGCTCGGGGATGATCTCCGCGGCCGCTCGGGTAACGGTCTCGGCCCGCTTGTCGGGCAGGGCCTTGGTGGCCACCTCCCGTGTGAACACATCCGTCACCACCAAGCCAAATTTGTTGGCTCCCCGAGTGTTCTGGCTGAAATCGATGAGGTCCGCTTGCAGGCGGTCGTTCGGCCCCTCCGCCGCACTCTTCCCCAGACTCCGCGGCTTCGGTGCGAGCACCTGCCGCGCCACGTCGCTGCGCAATGCCGCCTGGGCCCGCGCGCTTGTGAGGTCCCGTCGGTCCGGAAACTCCCGTCTCGCGATCTGGTAGAGCTTTCTAGGATCCCTCACGTTGTAGTCTCTAGCAAGCCTCCCTAAGAGCTCCATTGCCCCGTCCTCTGCCATTTTATACTGAGGTGCATGCGCTGCTTTCGTGCAAAGGGCTGCAAACGGCAAGGCGCGGCAGGGGCTGGGCGGGGTTCCTGCTTGATGCGCTCGCCCTGCCGCCAGGAGACTTTTCTGTGGTCCATTGGCTGACGCGCACCTGCGCTCGCTACCGGGCACCGCAAGGCTGGCTGTGGGCGATTCGGACGCTGTGATCAGCTTCTCAGGCGACGCCTATGACCGCACCGCCTTCTCTACGAGCGGAAGGTGCCTCGGCTGCGCTTTTGTCGTCTCAGTCCGAGTCGCCTTTGCGCCCCTTCTTCTTCTCGAGCTTTTCGACCCGCTTCTGCAGCTTCTTGACCACGCCCCACAGCACCACGCTGAGCTTCTGATAATCGAGGGCCATCAGCTCCCGGCCGTCCAGGTTCTTCGTCTTGCACATCGTCGCTCCCAGCTTCCCGCTGGCTTGCACGTCTTGGGCCACGAAGCCGATCCGCTCCCTGCCGCCGTCGATGCGGTCGTAAAGCAACGGCTGCACTTTGTCGAAGGTCTCTTGCAGCTCCTCCTCCGGGATGGCCCGGACGTTCTCCTTGAGTGCCCGGTCCGAGAGATTGACAAAGCCATACCCGAAGATCACCTCCCCGTCGTTGCTGCCCCCGATGTTGGGCTCGATCGCCAGGTTGGCCAGGCCGTTGGTGGTGTTTAAACTTATGAACTGGAACTGCGCGTTGAGCTCGCAATTGCCGCCGGCCAGCACCTTGAGCTCCGCCACGCCCGCCTGGTTGTTGGCGTCGAGGAGCAGCTTGGCATCTCCCGTGGGCGCGGCGTTGCGCACCACGACTCGCACAGTGCCGTCCGTGGGCCCCACCGCGATCTGCTCCAGCAGCGGGCTGAGCACCTGCACGCCGCTGGTCCCCCCCGACAAGCTCAGGAAGGGCAGGCTGGCCTCGGGGCCCAGCACCCCGTTGATCCGCACGGTGTCGTCCATCAGAATGCCATTGGTGCCGCCCTGGACGGTGAGCCAGGGCGCCGCCGGATCAGAGCGCACCAGGGGCGCCTCGAGCCTGAGGTCGCTCGTGATCTCCTGCGTGGCCGTCACCGAGCTGCTGCTCGCAAAGCTCCCCGTGGCTGCGGTGCTGCCGACGAAAAACTGGGCGACGTCCGCCGTGGTTGCATTCAAAGTGCGGTCCGAGCGCACGGTGATGTCTTGCTCCAAGCCGATGCTTCCGGCAGCGAAGGAGGCCACCAATGTGCCGTCTTCGGCGCGGATGGTGGTGGTGCCGTTCCGGATTTGGAGATCGGCTGCAGCGCTCTGCAGCAATGGTGTCTGCACGAAGCTTGTGGCCGTGAGGCTGTTGACGGTGAGGTCCGCCGTGGGGTCCACTCCTGGGCTGTTCTCCAGGTCGGTGACGCGCTGGCCCAACGAATTGAAGTTGGCTATCAATGGGTAGCGGGTGTCAGACTGTCCCTTGCTCCAGCAGTCGCAGCTGATTTGGAGGGTCGACCCATTCCCCAGGATGGGCTGGGCGGAGAGGGGCGATTGGCACAGGAGGTTTCTGATGATGCGAGGGGTGAACTGGGTCTGGACCAAATTGAAGATCCCACCGCCCTCTGCACCGGGGCTGTTGACGAAGTAGCGGGCATCCAAAGGTCCGAGGTCGTTGGTCCTCAGGAAGCGGCCGTCCGCCTCGGCCTTGGTCCAGGAGTCGCAGCGGAGCCGCAGCGTACTTTGATTGCCCAGAATTGCGTCGCCCACCAGGGGCGCCTCCAAAAGCAAATTGCGCACGATCCGCGGAGTGAACTGCTCCTGGACCAAATTGAAGATCTGCCCCGACTCCGCACCGGGAGCCCGCACGAAGTAGCGGAGATCTGCGTCCGCCTGGGTTTGGAAGCCCGCGCCGGCGATGGCATCGTCGATCTCCGTTTGGGTGCGCCCTGACGTCCAGTATTGGGTGAGCGTGGCCGTGAGCAGGGAGTCCAGCTCCGTGCGGGGATAATACGCGAGGAGCTCGT